AATTAAAAAATTTTAAAATGGACAATAATCATCGGTGGCAAAGGTACACGTGCAAACCAACCCCACTATTTGAATCTCCGTGTCATAATGCTCTCAGTACATGAAGAAATGGAAGAATCACGAGCCTGACTCAGAGTTACTTGTTTTCTAATAGCAATTATCGAGTTCCTGGTCAAATAAATGCGGCAATCTTTAACAAACGTGGAGTAACTGTACTTGGTATATCTTTAGATATATAGAAATAATCTGAGTTTTGAATATGATGCTATATTCAATAAGGTTTCCTGTATTGTTATTTTAAAAACTTTTGCCAGAAGGTGCATGTGCTCCCTGGAGAAAGACATGGTGAAAAAGATGGACAGTGAGAAAACACGCCTCGACAGGGCACTATCCTGCCACAATGCCTTCTCCTCCACTTCTCTCTCTTTTCAAGGATTTTGGGCACACACACACATGCACCCAGGGTGTTTCTAAAGCTGCCAGGTCTGGGACTTGAACCATGCTGTCAGCCATGTGGGATCCAGCATTAACCAGCACTCTACAGACTGGCCCCCGTCTTCTTTATTTATGGACATTAACTGGAGAACTACATTGATGAGCAACTCTCTGGAGAACAAAATTTCTCTTAATTAAGTCATTCTGCAAATTCAAGAATTACAATAAAACATTGATTCCTCATTGTGGCTTTAGCACATACGAATAGGTGATGAAAATATAAAAGAGAACATTTTAAATGAAGAGAGGATCAGGGATAATATAATATTGGGGGCTTTTATGTCATTGGTCTGAACATCATATTCAGGAAAGTAAAAGCAAAATTCCCTCCTCTATAACCTGAAATTGTGAAAGTGATCCCAGGTTGTCTTATTTGTTTGGGAGGGAAGATGTACCTTCTCAAGGTCTACTGGGGAAAAAAAATGCATTGCCTAGATTTCATATTTAAGAAATATTTAGTGTTTACAACATAATAAGGAAGCCAGCTGGTGGCATGGTAGAAATGGCTGGGCCCCATATGGCTAACTGCACAATTTAAGTCCAGAACTGGCAGCTTGAAAAACACACCAGGCATGTGTGCCTGATGCCCCAAACCCTGAGAGGAGAACAGAGAGAGGAAGAGACTGTGGCATGGCCATCCCACCTGGGGGGTGCTTTCTCACGTTCTATTATTCTTCAAGTGCACATGCCCTACAGCAAAGGTAAAAAATACAGTAAGTATGATTTAATGCAGTGGTTTTTTCTTTCTTTTTCATTTTCTTTTTTTTGGAGAGGTTTTTGCTATAGGGTGCGTGTGCTCACCAGAAAGACAGAGACAGAGACAGAAAGTGAGAAATCACCACCACCCCCCGGGGGGGACGGCCACGCCGCAATCCCTTCTCCTCCATTCTCCTCTTGGGATGGGCACACAGGCACATGCACTGGCATGAGTTTAAGCCACCAGGTCCAGGACTCAAACCACAGTTGACTATATGGGAGTGCAGCAACATAGCCATTATGCTAACTACTGGTCCCTAATGCAGTGTTTAACACATAAGCTTTCTATTGCAGATGCAAGTCCTGGATTTTAATTCTATCTGCATCACTTATTATCTATGTGATATTGTGAGTTAATTATTTAATCCTTCTACTAATTCGTATAATAACTAATGATCATTAGGTACTTAACACACGTCAGGCACTCTTCCAAGTGCTTAATATGTACCAATTCACTTAATCCTCGGGACAATACCATGTGGTAGAGATGATCATTATCCTAATTCTATAGAGGAAGGTCTCAAAACTTAAGGAAGTTCTCACAGCTAACAGAGGATCTGGGATTTGAATTAATAAATCATGATCTACCTCACTGTCCTCTTTACCTTTTACACTGCATTGCTTCTCAAGATGTTAGGTTTAGTCATAGAACTACTTTATAGAACAGGATTAAATGAAGTAAGGCATGTAAAGCACTGATGGGGCCTACACAGAGGGCCTGCACAGAATCGTCGTAACTGTAACACATACCGTTACCACTTACATGTATTATGTGTACGATATTTTCTGGGACGAGTACAAACATTTCATTTCATCTTTACAATACCACTATGTTATTATTTAAATGCTTAAGATATAGAAGCATAAGATGTTTTGACAGAAACAAGATAATGAGTGGGTGATAGAGCCAATATTTGGATACGGTGTTTTGATTCCATGGCTAATACTCTTTCTGCTACATCATTCCCCCTTATGTTCTGTGTTACCACAGTTCTAGCAATCTCTTTATTTGCAACAAAGTAATGTGTATCACTGCAATGTGTTTTCTTTCTTTCTTTTTTTTTTTGGAGATGTTTTTGCTATATAGCGTGTGTGCTCGCTAGAAAGACAGAGAGGGACAGAGAGACAGAAAGCAAGAAATCACCCCCCAGGGGAGATGGTCACGCCTCAATCCCTTCTCTTCCATTCTCCTCTCAGGATCTTGGGCATGCACGCACATGTGCCCGACATGAGTTTAAGCCACCGGGTCTGGGACTTGAACCATGGTCAGCTACATGGGAGTCCAGCGACATAGCCATTACACTAACTGCTGGTCCCTGTAATGTGTCTTCTTCATAACAGAGTGATTGCTACACATTTATGTATATTTATGGGTGGGATTACTTCAACTTTATCTCTTAGTTGCATATTAAAATCCAATAATAATAATAGATAGGAGTCTATGAAAACAGCTAAATCCCCCTTTTTAAGGATATAGCCAATTTTGGATGTCCCTTTGCTTTAAATGTCATTTAGATTATTTAACATCAATGTACTAATTGAACATAGAAATGTTTGAGATAGAAAATTTATAACCTAAGAAATTATAAGGTGGATTTTCAAGCAAGGGTGAATCAATTGGTCCACTGTGAAATGTTACTAATTAAATTCCTTCACATATTGTTATTTATTTAAATTCTACTCACAGTTGAAATCAATTAGCCTCTGGAATTAGAAAGCCGGTTTCTACCAATCCGATCCATGGGGATACCAAATCGCTTTTTTGGATGATCTGCTACTTTCCTGAAACAAACCAAGAACATTTTTTTAAAGAATTATTTTATTTAACTTTATTTATTTATTTTAATTAGATGAGAGAGCGAGAGAGAGAGAAAGTCAGCAAGTCACCAGGTCTGGGACTCGAAACCAAGAACATTTTAAAGCTAAAGTCAAATTACCAATCATTGCTTAGTCTTTTACTTCCAGCAGATCTGGTCTGGAGGGTTTTTCTGGAGCTGGATAAACATGATAGTTACCCTTCATCAGCACCCACTGGGTATCAGGTCCCAGAGTCTATCTCATATTTTCAACATTCATTGAAATAGGTATACCATCTTCACCCCCCCCTCCCCAAAGGATACATGAGCTTATCAAAGAGAGAGAGAAAGAGGGAGTGCACTTTCCAATGGGGCATGGTCACGCTGCAGTCCTTTTCCTTCCTGCTCTTCATCCCGTCAGGCTTGCATGCACACCAGCCTGGCGTGCTTTTATTGAGCCTTGAGCCTTTGAGGTAGCACGTGAACCATGGTAGGCCATGTGGGATTCAACTCCCAACCCATGTACTTTAAGGACAGTGCTACAGACTGGCCCGACCTCCCTTTCACATATAAGGAAACTGAGGCTTAGAGAAGATCATGTATGAATTTGAATAGACCGCATGAAAAGCCAGGTCTTCAGAGTATTAATATGCTAATTAATTGCTTTAATTTGGATAAATCTCTTTCCTTCTTCAGATTTTATTCTCCTGTTAATTGAAGAACACTGGCCTGGATGAGTGTTCTTTTTTCATTTTTTCCCCCCAATTTCTGCCTCATTCTGGTTCTTTTAGAAAACGATGATGATGAAAGACAGAAAGATGCTGATGCTAAGACAGAATGAGCAGTGTCTGTCAGGTCTTCGGCTGCACTCGACCCAGAGAGGCTTTGTATATGGTCTAGGTTTGTGTATATATTCTTCATATTCTACATTGTTTGAAAAAAATTACACAGTTACATTATAAAAAGGAAGTTTTAAAAAAATCCACATAGGATCACAAAAGGCCTAACATACTGTCCAGATTATATTGGTCATCAGAAAAGTCATGATACATTTTTGCATTAAAAAAATAGAAGTTTTCCTACAACCCAATATATCCAAAAAATCAGCTTTTTAGAAAGAAGAAACATTTTAGGGACTACAAGATGGCATAATTGTTACATTGCTGGACTTCCACTTAGTCAACTGTGGTTCAAGTCCCAGACCCAGTAGCTTAAAACTCATACCAGGTGAGTATGCATGTGTGCCCAAGATTCTGAGAAGAGAATGGAGGAGAAGAGATAATGGCATGGCCATCCTCCCCAGGGGATAATTTTTCTTTCTCTTTCTCTGTCTCTCTCTGTCTCTCTGGCAAGAACAGGAGCCCTATACCAAAAATCTGTAACAGGAGCAAGGTCAGAACACTGAGTATGTAAATTTCACTTGCCTTGGAGTTGAGCAAAGTTTGAGTCTTCTTCTTTTTTTTTTTTTTTTGAGAGTTTTTTTTCTGCTATAGGGCGCGTGCGCTTTGCCAGACAGACAGAGAGAGACAGAGAGACAGAAAGCGAGAAATCACCCCCCAGGAGGATGGCCACGCCGCAATCCCTTCTCCTCCATTCTCCTCTTGGGATCTTGGGCACGCATGCACACGCGCCTGGTGTGTTTTAAGCCACCGGGTCCAGGACATGAACCTCAGTCGGCTACGTGGGAGTCCAGCGACATAGCCATTACGCTAACTGCTGATTCCAAGTTTGAGTCTTCTTAATGAAAATAGAAATAAGTGTAAGGTCAGACAAAGGCTTATGTAAGTAAGTGATTTGTCTCTCAGCTGAAGGTAATTGATTAGTAGATGTATTAGACTTTTCAATAATGCAGAAAATAGGGCATGTTATAAGTAAACAATATTAGACATATATAGTTTATAAATATAATAAGCACAAGAAAGAAACAGAATATTACCAGCAGTTCAGGCACATTTGGAATGAGAAAGAATTTTAAAGGTTATTCTCCCACCAAATGCAAGGATTTGTACTTCAAGTTTTACCAATAATGATACAATTTATTGCTTGAAAATTTCAGTGATGTGAGACTTATTCACAAGATAACTTGATTTTCAGTAGTTTAGAGACTTTTAAAAAGATTGGCTTCAGAACATTTTCAGGAGCTTATTTTTTTTTCTAACTACTTTATTATCTTGTTAATCTATACTACATAAAATGTAAGTACTAAAAATGAGAGAAAATATCAATGTTTTAAAGTTTTTTAAAAACTATCAAGTGTTTTTCCTACTCTAATGTACTGAATACACTCTAAGAACACAGTTCTCTCTATGCCTGTCCTGAGATAGATGAGTCAGAATGAGTCTGACTTCAAAGGCCTCCATTAACTACTTTAAGACGGATGATTAATGCAAATAGTAGAGGAAATATTTCTTATTAAAAAAATTCATGTACTCGCTGGAAAAACAGAGACAGATATAGAAAAGGAAAAAGCAGCTGCAAAAGGGCATGCCCATATCATACTCCCGTCTCCAGTTCTCCCTTCTTTCAAGATTTTGGGCATACAAGCATCTGGCATGGTTTTCAAGCTGCTGGATCTGGGACTCGAACCATGCTATTGGTCACTGGGTTTGCAGCTACCTTCACCACCATGCCATAGGCTGGTCCTATTTCTTATTTTACTAATACCAAGTTCTACTTTAACTACCAGGTTTTATCAGTGATCCTGATATTACTATTAAATAAAATCACCGAATGATGCATTTCTTAAAATGTATCTCTGTCGTGAAGTGGCCTATGACTGTATGCCACTTTCCACAGAAAAAGACATTTTGCAGAAGATTAAGATGAAGAAACTTGAAATAGAAAGATTAATCCAGATTATCTGAGGGTATGCTGAATCTAGCCACTGAAACCTTTTTTTTTTTTTTTTTTTGAAGAGGCTTTTGCTATAGATCGTTTGTGCTTGCCAGAAAGATAGAAAGTGAGAATCACTCCCCTGGGGGATGGTTACGCCGCAATCCCTTCTCCTCCATTTTCCTCTCGGGATCTTGGGCATACACACACATGTGCCCAGTGTGAGTTTAAGCCACCAGGTCCGGGACAACCGCAGTCAACTACATGGGAGTCCAGCAACATAGCCATTATGCCAACAACTGCTGGTCCCATCTAGCCACTGAAATCTTTAAAAGCACTTGATGAATGAAAAAGTGTGAATCAGAGAACAACAATCTGAAGGACTTAACTCACTAGGGCTAGGTTTGAAGCTGGAGCGGAAACAGTTATGAGTGGAGACGTGCTGTGTCCTCTAGACATGCTTGAAAGAAAAGGAGGACCTCAATCCTGCTAGCACAGGGAAATGGATTCTGCCAACAACTTGAACAGACAGGAAATGAGTTCCACCCTAGAGTCTCCAGGAAGAAACAGCCTGCTGACATCTTCATTTCCTCTATATTTCTCTGTCAGACAAGGCAAACAGAATAGAGCAATATGCTATAATTTTAGAGACTACCCATTGGCTAGCAGTCTGTCATGGGGACCTACCTAATAGAAAAGGACACTCAGAAAATTTATCTAGAATGACAACCATTCATGTGATTTAGGGCTATGTCTAAGTGCAAAGTGGTTAATACAGTAGAATGTATTACATTGATGTAGTTTTCATTCCCATAAGCCTTAAATTCCATGACAGTATTTTCCCCATCATAACCCCAGGATAAGGCAGATACCCTCACAGAATGGAAGAGAGCACTCAGGGTTAGTCTCAGACAGATGGGAAGAGGAAGTGAAAGCCCATCCGCTCCCAGGTGTTTAAAGAATTTATGAGAAGAGGAAGGAAATAGCAGCTGGGAAAAAGCATCATATGACAAACGTACTGATCTGCTAAAGTTCCTTTAAGAATAGGTGTCAGAAAAAATAATACATATACTTTTTAAAGAGAACTATGATATCTTAATGCCCGTGATACTTAACCCTCTGGAGCTGTTTATTCACACTTCTATATAAGTGACAGTTGATTGTTTTATTCACAATCACATGTATTGTTCTCTGCAATGTGGATACAGTGATAAATAAGATATACTTTATGTCTTAGAGTTCGCTTTCCATGTCAAAAAGAGCTGATAGGATAACACACGTGAGACCACTTGACACATTTTAACTGATAACTGTTCTTTTCTATCAGTCTGGTCTAGTGGTTTCCAAACTGTCTGTAGCTTTTTATTTCTACAAATAAAAGCTGTATGAAGCAGAGCAATATCTAAAAAATTAGGTGAAGCACTGTACCAGTCAAAGGTAAATAATCCCTCTCCATACCTATGTAGTGGCCCCCGAAAAAGCTCCTGGAAACACTGAATTCTCAGAGCAGTTTAAAACCTACTAGTCGGGGGATCAGCAGTTAGCGTAATGGCTATGTTGCTGGACTCCCACATAGTTGACCGTGGTTCGCATCCTGGACCTGGTGACTTAAAACTCACGCCGGGCGCATGTGCGTGCGTGCCCAAGATCCCGAGAGGAGAATGGAGGAGAAAGGATTGTGGAGTGACCATCCCCCCTGGGGGGTGATTTCTCATTTTTTGTCTCTCTGTCTCTCTCTGTCTGTCTGGCAAGCGCACGCGCCCTGTAGTGAAAACCTCTCAAAAAAACAAACAAAAAAAACCCCTACTAGTCAGATAGATAAATAGAAACTTTGGTTGTTTATGTTTTTATTTTGTTAATAGTTCCATAATTCTTGAGCCAGCAGCCCCGCGCGCGTGGCGGAAGAAGCCAG